CGGCCGCGTGCGCCACGCCATCAACTGTTATTACTACAGCACTTGTTTTTCAGGTCACTCCTAACTCGGCTCTCAGAACTTTTCTGGCTCTCTTGGCCGCGCGTAAAACGCTTCAGACCTACCTGCTCTTCAGAGGAGCCACACCAACAAACGGGCCTTGCACTGTTCCAGAGGGAGGAGCTAGAGACGGAGGCAGCGCTCCAATTAAACACGACTACAATAGCAACGCTCCACCGACATCAAAGGTGTCCATTAGAAGGGTTCCACAGGAATGTGTGTGTGCAGAGTTTCCTCCGCTGGCGTCGTCTTTGGCTCGGCTGCAAGTACATAAATATTTATTGTGTGTGCTCAAAAGGTGCCTGTACAGGAGTAATTGTGAGCAAGGAGCGTGACGCTCCCAAAGAGCAGAGATGCTTCACTCTCACACCGAACAATAGAGAAGCTGTGTGTTATTACATTGTTATACGTGCTCTATAGACCACCTGCAGGGGGAAATCTGTGCCAGCAGGCTTCCAATCCCCACAAAACCCTTTGTGCTCGCCCACGCTGATAACACACGCGTGACACACACCACGGCACATGTAACCACATTTATTAGTGTGTAGATTCAAGAGCTCGCACACACACACACACACACACACACACACACACACACACACACACACACACACACACACACACGGAATGTTCAAATACAGATGAATCACCCTTATCTGCTGCACACAGTCGCCCCAAGGCCCCCTGCACACATCCTGCAAGAGATAATACAACACACACACACACACACACACGCACGCACGCACGCACACACACACACACACCTTGTAGTCAAACACACACATGTCCTCTCAAATCAAAACAACACAACGCCACACACACTCTAATGGAAGCACAAGTGTTTGACATTAGGAGATGCTGTAAAATATCACCAGCAGCGTCCGATGCCCGTGCTCTAATGGATTCGTTTACTTTGCGCACGTGCCGGAGACCGCTGCACACACTGTCCTCCTCCAGCCAGCAGTCAGGAGTGTTTGTTTGTGCACCCTGAGCACACACACACCTTGGGCTCCTGCAGACTGGTCCATCACAGTCACCGTCCAGGACCGCAGATGGGCCAATCCGCTTTAGGAAGGATGGAAGTCGATGAACTGGTGGTTCTATCCCAAATCGGTTCAGGGGTACCACTCAGTACAAAGTACCAAGTTTCCTATAGAAGGAACCCAGCAGGTCGCATCGAGTCACTGACTAGTGTCAGAGTCTTTACAGCAACCCTCATACTAAGCAAGCATGCAGCGACAGTGGAGAGGAAGACTCCCCCTGACATTAATCTGGAGAGCAGCCACAATTTCACCCCCCCCCCCCCCCTGTAAGAGGTTTATCGGTATGTTGCTAAACATTCTGACCTTTTTTTTTAATCTTTAATGCGCTTAAAATGTTCCAAACCCTCCTAATGCCACGGCTATCCCACACAGATGTTCGCCCGGCTCTCCCCCCGCTCCTTCTCCACCACCACCTCCTTCCTCCTCTGCTTTAAGAACCCCTCACCCCTCTCTGACGGATGCATCGTCCTTATGATCCGATCTCCTCAAAGCAGATCTGAGTCAGAGTCGGGCCGCTAAGCCGCGGCTCCTCGTTGGACTCTGATGATCGGGGCGAGGGGCTCAGCCCGCAGATATTCCACAGGAGTTTGTTTCATTAGATAATCTACAGTTAGGATATTCACAGGGACGAGGAGAAGCTCGTCGACTTCTGACTCTTTATTTATAAAGCCCCTTTCACACCATGTCAGAAACTCAGCATTCATCAACATAAAACCAATAAAAACTGTTCAAATCTGTTAAAAATATGCATTAAAAAAGGAAAACAGTTCAAATAATAAAAGTAGGACAATGATGTGAAACTACATCACCTAGTGGTTGAAAACGGGTCTTCAGGCGGGACTTAAAGAGCAAGTCACCCCCAGTGTATAAAAGGTTCAGAATTTCATATGTTACCTTTGTGCGTTAAATTAGTTGGTTTTATTTTGGTGGGAATTCAGGAAGTGACATGCTTTTATTTTGAAGAGCCTTTCACAGTGAGCTCACTTCCAGCGCTAGAATTTGCCCTTTTGTTCCTTTTTCAAAGATACTTAATTAATCCCAGAGGGAAATTAGAGTTCCAGTACACACGATCCAGACATCAGACATACACGGGCAAGACACATGACAAGAATTTTGGTGGGTGTGAGACGAGTGTTCCTTCGTTCTCCTGCAAGTCATGTTGATGTTGACAGCATTATGTTAATGCTGTTAATGATGATCATCAACCAAGAGTAAAGATGTAGATCTACATCAAAGGACGCATCTAGCCTCATCCTGTATTCTAACCGATACACCATGTTGATAGCCGCCTGACCTGGAAAGAGCTAGCTTTAACCAAACCCTCCTTTACACCCAGATAACGTTTTTCAGCTGATAAACGATATAAACGAGTGTCTAATCGTGCTGTAGACACGTGTAGTCAATCATTAGCGCATTTCTGTCTAAATTTGAATATTCTGTCTAAAACTGCCAGTGTTGCGCCTCCTTCAGGTAAAAACTCTGCACTGCATTTGAACTTTAATGTTTATGTTTATGCATTTAGCAGACGCTGTTGTCTGCTAAATGTTGTTAGCCTCAAGGGCATGTTGCCCTTGAGGCTAACAACATTTAGCAGACGCTGTTGTCTGCTAAATGTTGTTAGCCTCAAGGGCATGTTGCCCTTGAGGCTAACAACAACAACAACAACAACAAAAAAATTCCAGTCAGTCGTAGGTGGCAGTGATAAATCACGGAGAAGAGGGAACAAGGAGTGGACAGTAGAGAGGGGGACGGATGCAGGGAGGATGCTTAATCTGCCATTGCTATTGGCTAAGAGGTACCCAATGATGCTGGCTGGTACATTATGATGTCACAATGTTGTTGTGATCCTGTGTGTGTGTATTTGTTAGCGGCTCCGCCCTCTCTGCCTGCCAGGCAACAGCATTTGTTGCATTTTTCAAACAGGAGG